ATATTTTCCGCACTGCAAATAATTGGGATTTTGTACGACGTTAGAGTGAGATTTGAGTAAGAGATACTTGTCTGTTTCATTAAGATGAGGATGTAGCATTCAATAGAAATATCTAGGAGTGGAGAGTTAGTGTTCCATTAGAATATGGAATTAAAGAATGATACTCACTAAGTTGATGGGGGAATTAGAAGAGGACTTGTGAATATAGAAGGAACTGGGCAAAGTTTTTTATAGTTAATATTCATACTACTAAAAAGCTCGAAAATAGAGCTTCTTATGTTGTAGGTTCAATGTTGCTATATTAGTTCCTGAAACCATTATAGCATATAGAGATGTACATGGTCCTGTCAGTGTGTTCTGTGCTGCGTACGAATAGGAGGATAGGATCCACTGCTAGTTGTTCGGGAGGTCTAGAGACGGTTCTGGTGGAGGGGCAGCATTAAGATCATTGAATTTTATGTAGAGTGTACCATAACTTCAAGTCATTAGATGATTTACTTAAAATTAAATAGTGCTAAAGATGGTTTAATGGATACTGCGCATTGAGAGTAGAGATCCTGCTACACTGGTGGGAGCTTGAATGTTCTATCCTTAAAGGTAGTAAGCTTCTCAATCACGAGTTAATTGTTTACTGATGGTTGACAGATAAGATTAGCTAATAATTATGCTGTCTACAATCAAAGTATCTGTTTTCACTCATACATTTTGCCTGATTGTGACAAATATATGCAGTAGCAGTAAAGGTTCGCTGGTAGTTTCACCATAGAACAAGCTCTAGGTTGGGCAGGAGGGTGAATAGAAATGAACTATTGTCCTTCTGTAGTAGTCCCAAGCCTTTATACTGGTCTTTCCAATAGCGGTTAAGCAAGGTTGGGTTACAGATTGATACCATTTAACGAAAGGTATTATTTTCTGATGTAACTTAAGATGTTGATAGAATTGAGTTTTATATTCTGTTAATTGTTCAAGAGTATGATTGGCAAAATACCAATCTCTAAATTCTTTGTATTGCTTCTGGTTGAATTCCTGGTTAATTATTTTTCGATTTTCACTTTCTGGTGTAAAATCCATTAAATATCAAAATTCATATCACTGGCTGTAGGGCTATCTGGAGATGGTGTTGGAACTGGGGGTGCAGTATAAACACCATGAGGAATATGATTTTGAGAAAGACGGATTCCTTGAATTTCTGATGTCATAGGATCTTCTTGTGGATCACTAGGTGGTCTACTAGGTGGCCTAGAGGGTATCTGTTGAAGAATATTTTCTATTTGTCTTCTGGTTGGTTGGTTGTCAACAGATTGACGGCTGGATTCTGGATAGTCCACTTGGTAAGGAGGGACAGATCTAAAACTGTTATTAGAAAAACTTCTAGGTGCAGTTCGAAAACTGGCATTAGAAGAATTGCTTCGAGTAAGCAAAGGTTTCTGGAATTGGAGATAAACATGACCTCCTTGTGTCTGGATAACATCATCGATGTTATGTTGAATCATTGGTTTGGGTGGTACAGCATTAGGAATCTCCCACCTATCTGGAAAAGTTATGTCTTTCCAAGCAATCATCTTGGGGACAGCAACTTGGCTACTGTAGAGGTTAGTCTCAATTAAGACTGTTTGGCCTGTTTCAGTTTTCTTTTTTACATAAGGATTTAAAGTTGTTAAAGCCTTTATGTAAATTCGGGAATGTACCGAAAAAAGTGGTGTACCTGGTTTGTAATTATATCCATGAGTGAGAACTCGAAGTTCCAAAACATTGGATAAATTAGCATCGCATAAAGCCACACTAAGATTCAGATAAATATCAAAATAAACTGGTCCATGAGACAAACTTGTCTCAATGGCTCCCATAAGTGAAGCTCGCCAATCAAGGCAGCGTCCATCACGAAGGGTGCACTGGATACTGGTGTTTTGACCAAGAAGGGTCAAGGGTTTAAAAGCAATTTGTACCAATCCTATATGGATGTACTTATAATCTTTCAGAAAAGGGACAAAATCATTAACATGAATTAATCTAATTATTTCATCATTATTCTGGATACAAGATGCATGTTCAAATGTCTTGATAATTGTTTTGCTGAGGAATTGGAATTTTCCTTTCCTGTATATGGTATATGGATCTACTGATGGTATGGTCCATTTATCGAGGGCCTGTTTAACATCCTGATATGCAACTAATTCTGCAGCTTCGGCTAATGAGGAAACAGTATTTCCTACAGTTGTTACTGATTCAGTTCCTGGTATTTCTACAGTATTGTCACTTTGTTCAGACATGGTTGTATTGTGATCATATATGTCTAATTTATTAAATTTATATCTTTATTATGTGATAATTTGGTGTGATTAGTAACAACTGTAGGAAATACTGCAACTTTTAACTGCGATGAACGACACAAACCAATAGTGTTCCGACTTGAGGCAAACCTATAACAGAAATAAACCATGTCAATTTTAAGAAAATCAATACATTCAAATCATCTAAATAATGCTATTTTTCATTATTATACAACAACATTCATAACATTATCAACTTTTAATATTCTTTTCACTATCTTACATTATTTGACTCATTAATGCTTGATTAGCATTGACAGAACATTATTATAATTAGAATCAGGATACCTTTATGCAAATATAATGGGAAATCAATACTAATAAAAAAGCAGGTAATCAAGAAAAATCTAAGGAAACATGACATTCAAAACAGGAATTTCTCCCATACTCCCCTGTAGTACCAATCAGGAACAAATATCAGAAATTAATTACTGGAAATCCATAGTAGAAATGAATGGTTTGAATCTAGGAGAACCCAGTAGTATCAATGTTCTAACAGATACTCAAAAGGATATGCTTGCTGTTGCAGACCAAATTCAAAATCCAGAAATAAAAATAAAATATCATTTTTATTTTTATTCCACTTCCATTTTTATTCACTTTGTTTTTCTATTCAATTTCTTTTTTATTTAATTTCCAAATAGATCGTTAACGTATAATTGCGTCTTGAATGAACTTCCCTGTTTCATTTTATGCAGTTTCCATTTCTACTTTTATTCAACTTCTATGATTATTCAATTTCCATCTCCATTTTTTTATTTAATTTCCAATCAGATCGTTAGGGTGTAGTGGTTTCTTGAATGAACTTCCATTTTTAATTTTATGCAACTTTCATTTGTATTTTTATTCAACTTCCATTTTTATTTAATTTCCCTTTCTATTCAATTTCCTTTTTTATTTAATTCCCAAATAGATTGTTAAGGTATAGTGGTTTCTTGAATGAACTTCCTTTGTTTAATTTTATGCAGTTTTCATTTCTATTTTTATTCAACTTCAATTTTTATTCAATTTCCTTTTTATTTAATTTCCAAATAGATCGTTAAGGTATACTGGTTTCTTGAATGAACTTCCATTTTTAATTTTATGCAACTTCCATTTGCATTTTTATTCAACTTTCGTTTTTATTTAATTTCCCTTTCTATTCAATTTTCTTTTTTATTTAATTTCCAAATAGATCGTTAAGGTATAGCAGTTTCTTCAACGAACTTTCTTGTTTAATTTTATGAAGTCTCCATTTCTATTTTTATTCAACTTCTATTTTTATTCAATTTCCATCTCCATTCAATTACCTTTTTTATTTAATTTCCGAATATATCGCAAAGGTATAGCGGTTTCTTGAATGAACTTCCATTTTTAATTTTATGCAACTTCCATTTTTATTTTTATTCCACTTCCATTTTTATTCAATTTCCTTTTCTATTCAATTTTCTTTTTTTATTTACTATCCGAATAGATCGTTAATGTATAGTGGTTTCTTGAATAAACTTTCATTTCTAATTTTATGCAACTTCCATTTTTATTTTTATTCAACTTCTTCCATTCTCTTTAATGAACTTCCATTTTTAATTTTATGCAACTTCTATTTTTATTTTTATTCAATTTCCTTTTTTATTCAATTTTCTTTTCTATTTAATTTCTTTTTTTTTTATTTCATTTCCAAATAGACCGTTAAGGTATAGTGGTTTCTTGAATGAACTTCCAAGTCTGATTTTATGTAACTTCCATTTTTATTCAATTTCCTTTTCTATTCAATTTTCTTTTTTTATTTACTATCCGAATAGATCGTTAATGTATAGTGGTTTCTTGAATAAACTTTCATTTCTAGTTTTATGCAACTTCCATTTTTATTTTTATTCAACTTCTATTTTTATTCAATTTCGTTTTCTATTCATTTTCCCATTTTGTTGAATTTCCAAATAGATCGTTAAGGTATAGTGTTTTCATGAATGAACTTCCATTTTTAAATTTTATGCAACTTCCATTTCCATTTTTTATTTTTTTTCCACTTCCATTTTTATTCAGTTTCCTTTTCTATTCAATTTCCTTTTCTATTTAATCTCCTAATAGATCGTTAAGGTATAATGGTTTCTTTAATGAACTTCCATGTTTAATTTTATGCTGTAACGCCCTCAAAAATTAACCCATTATATATATCAATGACATGCATTATTTAAAAAAAACACTTCAATAATTCATTATAATATCCATCAGTCTTACTAAACAAAAACATTACATGTAACATCAAATTAAATGCCCTAACGGCTTACATCTTTCCAAGCCAACACTTGGACACCAAAAGTGTAACGCCCTCAAAATAAACCCATAATAACCATAACATTAACATGCATTTATAAAAGAAAATGAATCATTTGAGTTAGTCATCAGAGTATTCTTATTGAAAGACATCACATGTAACATCCTGCAACATCAAAATAAATGCCCTAAGGGCTTACATCTTTCCAAGCTAACACTTGGACACAAAAAGAATATAAACATTTAACATCACTAGCATAGAGATCATTAAGATGAAAAACATAAACATTATCATGGCGATTACTAACAAATAAAACTTTATGATCATTTGTGATTTCAATTGTTCAATGTGATTTATCAAAAATAACTCGATTACCTTTATCACATAATTGACTAATACTAAGTATGTTATACTTAAGTCCAGTCCACCTCCATTTTTTTTCATAGCCATCTCTGAAAGAACATGAAGTACATTAGAAGATTAATTTCTCATTAGAGTTTTGTAAAAACTTAAGGTGCAAAATTTACCTGTTTCTGTGCATTTTCTCTCGGCAGATTCCAATGTATTACATAGCTTTTCCTTTTCCTTGATATGGCCTTCTTCAACTTCTTGAAACCACTTTAAACAGAGCTTAAGTTTTCTTATGTAGTCATTAATTTGTTCCATTTTCCCCTATCAATTCAGAACACGTATAACAATATAACAAAGACAAAAAACAAACAAACAGCAACAAAAAAGCACAAAACAAATCAATTTAACACTCTGTTTGGTCAGTGAGAAAGTGTAAAAGTATTTCAGAATAAGCATTGATACCTCTCACATCTGTTATTATCTGTTCTATCTATCTATCTACTCTATTCTATCTATTATGTCATATAAAACACACAACTCACTTTTGGAAGCTTTGTCACTCAATTTTGATTTTCCAAAAAATACCCATAGAATCGCTAACTGAATGAAGAAGCATACCACATTCAGTAAATAACTGCTAATCAATTTTCAAACCAATCCATATTTCTCATTTAGCCAACCATCCAAGAAACTAGATATAAAGTTGCGCACGTGTACCGTGCAGACATAGCATGTGCACCCACCACTAGTCATTCATTATGACCACAATGAAACAAAGCCCCCCAAAATCTAGAACAGAAAAATAAATATGGGTCAGTTACACTTTTCACCCTTTTAGGTTGACTCAAAATTCACAAGTATGATAGGTAGGAGCATTTAGGATTGCAAGTAGGATCGTTTGGCTTGTGATTTTCACAATTGTTTTAATGTCCATCATCATTAGTGTTGCTTTTTAACAATCTTACAATGCTTGATCCAATTCTACATTCTAATCCACAAGACCCTCTCATTGATCCCATGTAGGATCTCAATTTTAACAATCATGGTATAAACTATAAAGTTCTCTTGTAAAGAAAAATATATGGAAAACCCGTAAACGATGAGATTACTACAATCACAACTTTATTTGTAATTAGTTTTGCATAAAGAAACAAATAAAAGTCTCAAACAACTCTCATACCTTGACAACCTGTCTTCTGGTGATGTAATTGCTAGATTCCAATAGCTTTGAGTTGAATTCAGCAGAGAACTAAGACCAAAAAAATATAGCAGGAGAAATGCCACATTATTATGAATCAGAAAGCTCATATGAAAAGGAAAAAGAAATAGTCAACAGAGAATGAAGATTGGAAATCAAATTTATAAAACCCCAAAAGCAAAATATAAACACGAGACATATCCAATGTAATAGATTCTGTATAGTTAATTATACTAAAACACAGGTATCTGCAATGTAACTCAAATCAGGGAGTCTAAATGCATTGTAATGAACTTATCTTCAAGTGTATCAAAAGATCTTGAAAGGAAAGATCACAAATCACAAGAAAACACCTTTCTCAATTGATGTTACAAATAATATATCAATAATTCATTGGTACATCAAAAGCTTTTATTCTTTTCTTTCTACTAAAATCAAAAGGAAAAGACAATGATGAATGTGTTGAGCATCTCCAACGGTAGTAGGCATTTTACCTATTTAAACATTACTATAAAGTATACATTTTATTTTGCCTGTCAACTGTTTCATGTTTCTACTCCAACCATGCTCTTTATTTTAGCTATTCATCCAAATACTATTAACTTTATAGAATGTCACGTCAGTAACAAAGATGGAGGGAAATAATCCTAATGATTAAATACATTTTGCATAGCCTTGAAGGCTAGCTACATGTAGCTAGTGAATGTGAGCTTAGCCAAAATGCCTAGTCATATGCCTAGTGCATTGGAGTTGAAAAAAGTGAGTCACATGAGGCATTTTGACTAATAGGCATTATATGCCTAGTGGGTTGGAGATGCTCTTAGAATATATGTTAGAATCTTCTTATTATTTGTTTCCTTAGTTAGATTATTCTGTAATTCCTTGATTAGTGCCTTTGGGCTCTGTTTGTAACTGTTGATTGATTTATATAAAGGGAGTGATATCAGTATCACTCTCAACATTGATTAAACCTCAAATCAATCATGGTATAAAAGCCTTAGGGTTCTAAACCTAGCACCCATCATTGTCTCATCATCACCCAACACTAATCAAAGAGCACCGACTACAACCTAATCAATTTCGGTGTCTAACTATCTCTTACGACTCATTGTACCTGTTTTTCGGCTGCTCCTTATGCCCTAGGAGGGATCGCAACACTCGTCAGAGTCCTTCTGATCTTTGTCGCTTGTCTCCTAGGCCTCTGGTTGGTTCGTGATTCACCCTAGGTCATCTGACTCTGCTTCGTGACTCTGCTTCGCTGCTCCCTCGCTGCTAGCCGTCGTCGATCACCGTTGTCGTCTGTCACCGTCGTTGAATTTTGGCTCAAGGGTTTTG